CGGCTCGGCAGGAGCAGAAAGTCCTGCAGCTCCTGCTCGGCGCCTGCAAGGGACTTTGACGGAGGAAAGGTCCCGCACAGCCCCGGGAGGTCTGGGCTTGCTGCGGAGCCCGAGGGAGAGCCAGCCTCTCCTCTGCCGGGGGGAGCAAAGCAGCCGCCGTCCCGGCACAGGAGCAGCCGGCTTTGCCGGCTCCCTGCAGAGGCTGGCGGTGAGAAGGGCTCGCCCCAAGCCGTTTTCTCTCTAAGACAGAGCCACAACCAACACGCAGACACACCACCACACATCTGGGGGATGTGGCAGCCTTTCGGCAGCCGTGATGCATTTCTTACTAACTACCAAGGGGCTAAGAAATCCATAAAATGAACCGAAAAGCAACAAGAAGCAGCTAGCTGGAAGTTTACGGCAAAGCAAGGAGCAAACCTTTTTTTTTTCAAGCCGCCAGATCCACAATGAAACGAAACACCGTAAAAAGCTCTGGTTTTCCAAAGAAAGGGCACACCGGCAACATAGTTTTCCTAGGCAGTGGCGGACGTCCGATGCCGCGTCCGGGCTGCACCCCTGGATTTACTGTCCATCCATCGAGTCCCACCACACGCGTGCCCACGGCTCCCCAGCATGGCACTGCAGCGAGGTGACCTCCCCGGGCACAACGGGGACGTTCACAAGGGACGTTCACCGCCTCGCTGCTCGCAAGCCGTGGCTCAATCCATTGCAACGCAAACGATGCCGTCCAGCACACAGGGCTGTGTTTCACGGTGGAATTTCATGGTTTCCTGCTACCTGTGCAACGCTATCGGGCTGGAAAACGGGCTCAGCTTCTGAATGAGAACAGAAAAACCCCTAATTCTCCAAACGCGTGCAAGTCCCTTCTGTCCTTGCACAGGAGCAAGACCCCGCTGCTCGGGCGAGCGGCTCCAGCCGATTCAAAGTACCTGGTGGCACGAGCATTAGCAAAACTGACCCCGTTATTGCTGAATAAGCTTTGGGCTGGCTCAAGCCGATGAACCCCGGCACAATTCCCGCCAGCTGAGGACAAAGCTTTGTGTCCAGCAAAGGGCAGCGATGGAAGGAGCCCATCTAGAGCCATCGCCTGTGGCTGCGGCAGCCAAAAGACCTTGGGGCCAGACAATGTGGCCGAAACATGTCACAGGTCACGAAGGAACGTGCCTGCGAACACCCCGCTTGCCTGCTTTTTCCCCGGTGTGAAGGATCTGCTCGACCGGTCTATTCCATGAAAATGTGACTTTCTGTTTTCACTTCTTTCTTTTTTTTTGGCTTTCATCAATAGTAGGGAATGAAATAACCACAGTTCATTTCTCTTGACTACGAAAGACATTGGGATGCTAGGATCCTGCCTCGTAAATCACCGCATTTGCAGCTCCGGCCCTTCCCTTCTTCCTCCCCTCCTTTCCTTTCTCCTGGCAGTTGTCCCTTGTTGGTGTGCTTGGCATGCATAGGGATGGGAGGGTTTCTCTGATAAAGTGCAAGTGCTGTTGGTCCTTATAAATAAGGGAAGATTGTGCATCTACTTTTGTTCCCTGGTTCACCGCTCATCTCTTGGTGACCAGGACGTGTCCTTCTGCAGACTATGTGGAAAGCTCATGCAAGTCCTGCCGTCAGAAACCTGCTCCCGTCGCCTGGGGTCAAAGTTACCTGCCTTCGTTCTCTCTCCCTGACACACACACAGACACACACAGACACACTTCCCCCTCCTTGCCCCCAGCTCCGCAGGGAATTTCCCGGGAGCCGGGCTCGGGGCAGGGCACCTCTCCATCACCGGCACCGGCGCTGCCCGCGCCGCCCTGCCAAGCCCCCAGCTCCGCCTGACGACTCCCCTTCAGGCAGCAGGTTCCATACACACAGAAATACAGAACGATGCTTCAAACGCTCAGGAACGAGGGAGTTGAGATATATTTTATGATGTCAAATTGCTGTCGAGATTACACTGGAATACCCGCAAGAACTACTGGGTGCAGCCAGCACATACAAATAAATAGGAAGATCAATGGGTGAAGCACAACAGACGCGGCTCCCGAGCTGGAGCGGATGAATGCCAGCAAAGTCAAACAAAGAAGGAGAATTCAAAAACCGTGCCAGCAAGGGTAACTTGCGGGGGCTGCACCGTTTACATCAGTGAAACACAAAAGCCCCGGTATACCGAGATGACGGATCACCCTGGAGTAGTGGCTTGGAACCCGCGCTCCCCGCGCGGGTTTTGGCTGACCCCCGCTGCCACGAAGCCTCCCTCCAGTGCAGCCCTGGGGGTGAGCAGCACCCGGGGTGCTCCCCTGTGCAGCCGGTAATCCAAGCGAGGCAACGCTCTGCGCTTTTAATCGCACCCCGCCGCATGCCCAAGCCCCCCCCGGCGTGCATGTGAGACTGTCGGCGACGCGGACAGGACCCCACGCAGCACCGACGTGCCTCCCTGTTTCGGGGCAGACCCCCTGGGACACCCTGAGGGCAAACGCTCCCCGCGTTTCTCAGGGAAGGCTAAAGCTTTTGGGGGGGTCGCTCCTCTAGCGAGACACCGTTGTCGTCCCGTCCCCCCCCGATCCTGGAGGCATCCCGGGGAGGCATCCCACCCAACGGCCCGGGGAGCCGGACAGGAGAGCCCCCCAGTAGACCTCCCCCTACCCCACGCCCAGCCCTATGATGGAAAGGTTTGCTCTCAGGGAACACAAAAAACAGAGCAGATCTCCGCTCCGCTGCAGAAGTCTAAGGGGACCCAGCCCTGTTAAATACCCCCCAACACCCAGCCCCAGGGACACGCATGTCTGCTGCCGCCCATGCCCGCCCAGCTCAGCGCTCGTGAGAAACCACCTCCGCAGAAGGAACGGGTTTGGTCAAGGACTAAAACCGGGCCAGGAGCAACAGGAACCCCCCCTCCTCCTCTCCGGCTGCCGGTCGGCAGCGACCCCGGCGCAGAACTCGCCCGAGGCGATGCTCGAGGCTCGTCGGAGTCACGGGGAACGTTGCCAACGCAACATTTGGTTGCATTTGGTGCAAGTCCGCAGGTAATCGCCAGGTCCGGCAAGGAAGACTTCTTTCCGGGGCAGCTTCCAAAAATTCAGGAAAAATAATCCAGACTGTGCAACTCCATCAGAAAAGGACAGAAAAGGGTACGGAAACAAGAGACCACACATGTGGCTATGCACAACACCATAAGTTTCTGAGTTTGTTTTTGTTTTTAAACTGCACGTTTGTTATAATAAAGAAAGGGTGCTGAATAATTAGCGGATGAGTAGAAACGTGTATCTGGACAATTCTAAAAAATCGCTAGTGTTTACGAAGAGCAGTTTACAAAAAGAACTGGAGGACTTTGGTCTGAACTCTGCTGTCGTTCCCACCCACGTAATGTGGAAGCAACCCAACCGAGACCCGTCTCGGTGCCTGATGTGAAGCAGACCCTTGCATGAATCATACAGTGCAGTTACCCGGGAGCCCTCTGCAAGCTTTGCCTTGGCACGGTCTATGTGGGCAAGCCCAGGCTTGGAGCAGGGCATGTGTTAAGGAGCAGAAGCAAACCGTGGCGAGACACCGGGCAGGTCGGGAGACCCCAGCCCGCGGCCGCCATCCCCTCCTCCTGCCTGGCTCTCCCACCCGCGCCGGTTTGGAGAGGCACGGCATGGCCGGCAGCACCCGACTCCATGGAAAGACTTGGACGGGGGGGCTCACGGGTAGGCTGGCAAGCTCGGCAGCACCCACCGAAAACCATCCAGGAGCTGGATGGACGACAGGACGTGTTCCTAGAGCAACACACCAAACCAGAGCCAGTAGAACAGTACTTCCCTGGCAAACTGTTGGGCAAAAATTCCCTTTTTAACGCTATCAAATGATACCCGTGACTGTGGACGGCGGGCTGCATCTTCTCCTGCCGCCGCAGACCCAGCCAAGACCAGGAGAGCAAAGGAAGAGGCTCCCGGGAGCTCGCTGGCCTTGGGCTGGGTCAGGAGGCAACGGGCTCGCTCCTCTCTCGTTTCTCACAAAGGGCTGAGCAAGCTTTGGTGTCGTGGCCAACGTAGAAGCCATTTTCCAAAAAAACTCCCACATCCCGCTCCTGAAACTCGTCTCTGGTGCCAAGAGAGGCCCCTCCCTTGAAAGCCCACGCCTAAAACCCGTCCCCGGCCAGCCCCGAGGCGTCACACCGAATACAGCTCCGCGAAACAGAAGGGCAGACGCAGGCTTTCGGGCTTCTTCCTATCTCCCCTGATGATGTATCGGGCTGCAAAAGCCTGGAAATATCCTTTGCCACCGCCTCGAGATGCTTCAAGCTGCCAGGAGCCGGAGGACCTGCTCGCTCCCGCTCGCCCTGCCCCTGGGAACGCAATGGTGCGGGAGCACCGCCTGGGACACGGGGTCCGTGGGGAGCGGGAGCGGGATCCGCCGCGTGCAGGCGGCATCCCGCATCAGGGAAAGGGGGCTCGCAACGGCCAAGCGGCCGGGCGAGAGGGGAGCTCCTCTGCTGCCCGCTCCTCTCGCCGAGGCGTCACGCTTCCTCCGGCCTCCGACAGCAGGAATGCACTTTGTGAATTTGGCCCAGAGGCTTCCTTCTAGCCAGAACCCCAGCCCGTTTCCATTCTCCTCGCGTTCCAAACCAGCCTCCAGAGCGCTCCGCCATCCCTTCCGGAGCCGGAGGAACCACAGGGCAAGCGCAGCCGCTGCTCCGGCTGGTTTTTGGGAAGCCTCTCCCCAGCTCCCTGCCGGCAGCCTGCTGTGCCGGCAGCGCGGCCCCGGCCGTCCCCCGCCGCTCGCCGCTGCGGTCACTTCGCCACCACTGGAAAAGCATTTCCAAAAAGAACCAAAACTATATATATCTCTCTCTATATATGTATACATACATATATATGTTTATACATACACACACATACGTATATATATGTATATATGTCTACCTATATATACACATATAGGTTCGAAAGGCAAGCTGCCAAAGTAGAAAACATCGGTTCACCTAGTTTGTATTATGCGTGTTAAAGAAATGAGACTTTTAGCCCATGACATCTTCTTTAAAAATGAGTATTTAAGATCTCCAAAAATTGCTACAGTACAAAAAGTGTTTGTGTGTGTATATATATATTTTCTCTCTACATATATCGTATGTATGTATGCGTATGGACCGGAATGAATGACCCCACCAGAAGAGACGCCCCACTCGTCCTCCACAACGTTTCTAGGCGTTATCGACTGAGCTTCAGCTTCTCGCGAAGTCTTTGCATCGGTACGTGGCACATAATGGTATTATTGGCACAGGTTCAGAGTCACAGTCCGCGTCCAGGCTCCAGGCGCCCAGTCCTTCCCTCTCAGTCCCTCGCCGGTTCCTCTTCCTCCACAGGATTCTTTGCTCGCACTTTTGTCTTTCTCCTCTCCAAAAAAAGCGCTCTTTGAAAAACGCAGTTACCTATAGGCGTGTTCATTTTTATAAAAATATATTTGGCCCATAGAACGCTGCTCTTTGAGTCTCCTACTGGTAAACGGAAATGGTAGGTACAGGTAACCCATTATTTTTTTATATTTTTTACAGGTTCACCAATGGAATCCTGTTAAGGACAAGAAGAAAAACAAAGGTTAAATCACGACAGGGCAACGCACCATGACTCGCGTCGCTTCTCCGATGCCCCCCAGGAGCCCGGAGGCTTCCCCCTCCTCCCAGCAGCGGCACCGCGGGGCTCAGGGGAGCAAACGTCGATGGCAGTGGGCGAGCATCCCGGGGGAGCGGGGGACGGAGGAAGCGGGGTGTCAGTCACCTCCCCCTGCCGAGTTGCCAGTCTGCATTCGGGACTGGGACCACTACTTCTGCCTCCCCGGAGAAGGCCCGGCCTTGCCCAGCTCGCTCTCCGCCACGTTTGGCGGGGCGGCCTTCCGAAGGGGGATGCGCGCGCTGGGACAGGGACGCTTTTGGCGAGCGGTGGGAGCGACTAAGAGCCTTCCGCGTGCCCTACTGCGCGCTTCTATCTCCTCGGGGCCTTTTCCAAAGCGTGATTTATTCCTCAGCATCCTTGCGTTCTGGAGCTTTTCATGCTCGGGCTAGGAGCAGCGAGTGCTCTGGCAGATGAGAAGATGATGATGAGTACTAACAAGATTTTCTAAAGTTAAATGCCCTAAAGAAATCAATAGAGAATTGGTTAAGCATCAAACCCAGAGATCCTATTGAAGTTCCTCTTACGCTATTTACTTGCCGTCTTCCGAAAGACCTCTCCCTACATAATCTTTCAACCTCTGTGTGAAGACAATTACTCCCCATCATTAGTGTGCGGCCCCTTGCTTCACCTGTATGCGACTGGCTTTATGTATAGTGATACGTGCTGTGCCTGAGACCGAGCTACCCGCGTGCGGGCTTTATATGCAGCAGACATATAGTCAGCATATGCAGAAGAGCTGCCCGGAGTGCGCTCATGACATATATGCCCTCATCTACGCGACGGCCTCTGACTAGCTGGTCATTAGCATTTAGAAATGCAATACGCTTTCTGTTCGAGGGTTCTTTTTTCAACATTATTTTGAAGCAAGATGCCCAATATATACCATCTCCAAGAACAACGCCGAAGTCTTAATTAGCGAGACAGATTTTACAGAGTCCTTAATCTCCTGCATGGGGGCTGTGTTGGGACTGCTGTTATTCCTCCGAAGGCAAGCCGGGCTTTTTTATGATGACTCATTATCTGTTAATGTTAATACAAACCATTTGCTGTTGTTAGGCAGAACGGGGCCATCACAGCAGCTGCTCGCCGTGTTCAAAGCACGGAATTACCATACAATACCATCAATTTTAACTACCTTGTGCAAAAGCTAGGGTCAGATCAACGTTACCGTACCACTACGATTTTCAGGTCTCAAATCGCCACTTCCCTAACAGCGATGCCGAACATTTGCATAGTTCTGGATGAATACTATTTAATGCGTGCATTGCAGGATGTAAAATTTATATTGTATTCCAAATAGCCTCTTTGTGCAAAGTAGGTCAGTGCTTGATCAACCTTACCGATTTTTGTATAATCTCATTCCATGGGGTTTTTCAGTCAAAGAGAGCGGGATTAAGGACAAGAATAATGCGAAATCTCAAACTTCATTTCAGAAAGCCCCAAAGCCAGTACGAAATCAAACCAAAACAGCCACAGTTTGCTGCGGTGCCCGGCCAAAAGCCACGCGAGTCTTCAGCAAATTTCACCTTGCGGTTTGCAAAACCAGCAGCCGCTCCTGCCTCCGCCTTGGCACTGCGTCTCCTCTGTCATCTGCCGTGATCGGGGCACAGATAGTTTCGCTTCTTGCACCCCCCCTGCAGATAGTTCCTCAGTGAGTTGCCTGGCACGAATGCTTTGATTGAGCGCTTTACTCTCCACCTAAGCCAGCCTTGGGCGGAGGGGCCAGGTCCTCCTAGGTGCGACATCCATCTACGAGGCAGCGTTCCCGCGGGACCTGACTGCCGGCAGAGGCAATCTGCTGGAAAGCTCCAACAGCTGCTCACCGCCGGCGACGTCGCCCGCTCCTGGGAGCGCCAGCGCCCCGGCAGCGACCGTGCCGGTGGCACGGGAACCCGCCCCATCGCTCCCGTTGGCACGGGATGAACGTGACCCCGGGAAATAGCTTCCAACATCTGCTCGCCGTGTAACTCGATGAGTTTCACCGGGTTTCCTGACACCACCTCGGCGCTGCCTGCAGCTCTCCAGGCTGGAGACCGTTCCGCCGCGCCGTCCCTTACATCTGCTCCCTGCAGCCACTCAGCCCAGCCTTTCGTTGCCATCAGCATCGTCAAATGCCACGCTGCCATTTAGGCAGCACGACGTTCGGTACTCGCACAGTGCTGATGGACTGTAATATGTAAAGTCCCCATTAAACTCCAACCAGCCTCCCGGTGCTCATCTAGTCAGAATGTCCGCACCCCCTCTCTGCCCTGCCATCCCTGTCCCCGGTCACATCGTCCGTCTTCTGTCTCCAGCTCTGACTCTACACGTTCCGTAGTACTGATTTCCTTGTTAGACAGCTATGAGCTGTGAAGTGCCATCAATTAAAACTTGTAAAGTGCTTTGAGCCTTTCCAAGGAGAGAGGTCTCTGGTGCAGCGTTTGACCCTCTGGGTGTGTGGCTGTGTGGCTGCAGAGCGGGGAGAGCCCCTCCTGCCCCGCTCGCCTCGACTGGGGGTTGCTCCTCTCATGCCCTCCTCCATCCTCCGCTCATGCTGAAAGGGGCTGGGAAGAGAAAGCTGCACGTAACCCCTCCAGCCAAGAAGCTCCACGTGCTCTAGAGCATCCCTCCACCTCTGCCGAGATGCAGCGCATCAACATCGGCTCAGGTCACCTTCAGGCGATGTTGCTGCTACCGTAAAAGCCAGCCAGGAGAACAGCCATCCCTCCAGAAGAGGTGCAGCCCAAAGCAGCTGCGTCTTCTTTTCCACCAGCCTCTCCTCTAGAAACAAGAGCTGGAAAGGCTTCCTCAGTCCCACCACTCCTCCTGCGCTCAGCAGCATCTGTCCAGTGACAGTACAAGGCAACCGCGACGACAGGGGACAGACTACCAGGGAGCTTATCTCAACGCCATCTGCTCTTGGAAGCTTTTACCTTACACAGGGACAGGTGAAACTTGAAATACTCATTTTGTCTGTGGGATGTCCCAGCTGGCACACGTTGATGCAAAATGCTGTTTGCATGGGGTTGCAAAGCATCTTTCGACCGCAGGCTTCTGGGAAGCCACGGGGAGCCGTGCCTACCGCCATGGGCTGCGGGGCAAACACTGGGCTGCCGGAACAGCCGTGCAGCACCGCCACGCAGAGCAAAGCCCACTCGGAAAACATACACACCGCGACCCTGGCAGGTCCTCGCTCTAACAACCGTGCCCCGGCAGAAGATGTAGGCAACCATGCACGGGAAGTAGCATGGTGCGGAAAAAATATTAAGCGACCTTGTTGAACTTCTAAAGGATTTGGGCTGACCCCATTTTGGGACGAGGGCAATTTCTCCTGTTATCTGTGCCACGGTGACATTCTCGAGGTTACTCCCCACAGACGGTAGGGTTCTATGGCAGTCACCTGGTTTTTACCATGACATACCACTCAGGCGTGTGTGCCAGAAATACCCCAGTGCAAATATACACACGCACATGTACACATGCAGAGAACAGGTTTTGGATTCATCTCACTTTGTTAACATTAATGAAACCAAACATCAGCTTCCAGAACTGTATAAATAATTGAAAGACTGTTACGGAGCTTATGCTCAAGGTATGACTCGGATAGATTTTTCCAGAGCGTGTCAATACGCCTTTTATAGATTCCATGAAAACAGGTCAATGAGAATTTCAAGGATTTAATAAGGCATAATGAACCAGCTTTGAACTATTTAAAGAAATGTATGGAGATGACCAGGGCGCGGTCTTTGGCACAGAGTTTCACAGGACCTTGGGCAGGAGCGGTGGGAATTGCACCGCCTTCCCATAGCAGGCAACAGCCCGGAGCTGCTCATTCTCCTTCCCTCTACGCTTCTGGCACAAGAGCTCCTGATGGCATCCAACTATGACTGGCTTGGGTTTTGCATTGTTTTGGGTTTTTTTTAATAATTTTAAGCCAACGGACAGACATCACAAACTACAAAGCTCACGGTGGAAGAGGTAGAGCGGGCTATTGCTGTTTGCTTTCAGCAGCTAGCGTCCGCGCGTGCTGTTGAGGAAGACCCTGCAGAACCTCCCTGTTCATCCTCCCGCTGCCCTTGCTCACTAACGCCAGCTCTCTGGCCAGGTACTTTGGCTCTTTGACCCCCTGAGACAGCAGCCGCAACAAAAGTCAGAGTAATAATGGGAGAACACTAATAGATGGGGAGTGAGAGCCTTTTAAATTCCCTAGCAAAGCCCCTCCAGCCAGGAGAGGCTCTCGGGGGGCAGAGCCGCCCCGGCTGAGCAGCGGGGTCACACCAGCGAGACCCTGCGGGCAAAGACACCGGTGGGCAGACGGCCGAACCCTCACTTTCTGCTTTCTGCCCTCCGCCAGGCAGGCAGGCAGGCACACACCTCACCTGGCCTGCCCAGACACAGCCAGCCCCGGGCACAGCTGAGACCATTAACTTTTTATTCCCTTCCATTCTAATCTAATTATATTTCTGTGTTCAATAGCTGAGCATAATGTTAAACAGGCCATTCCGAGCAAGCTGCAGTCAGGGAAGGCTGGAAATTTCATTTACACTGAATATATGATTCATTACAGCAGGGACTTGGGACAGACCAATTAATTCACCTGAGTGCGCGGCTCGAACGGGCACCGCTGCCCCACGGTGAGCTGGCACGCAGTGAACCCTAATTGCTTTTCCTGCCACCGCTATCGGCCATGCCACCTTCAAAAGCAATACAAGGAGGCGAAAACGGCTCAAGCCAACTCAAAAAAAAAAAATCCCCAAACAACGTACTGTTGAAACCAGTACAACGTTGTTGTACTCCTTTGGTTGCAGCAGTACCCGAGGCGTGAACCTGGCTGCTGGGGACTGCGCACACAGGCTTGCAGGCTCGGCTTCCCACAGAGCAAGAAGGGGCATGGGAGCAGGAGGAGGAGGAGGAGGAGGAGGAGGAGGAGGAGGAAGAGGAGGACCCCGGCACCCTCGCAGCGGGAGCATGGAAATGTTTAGGACAGGAAACATCATCAAATGAGCTTTTGGGTACCAATGGAGAGTGCATGTCGGATGCGTGACTCTTGAATGAGACAGACCGTTCCTCATGCAACAAGAGGTTAATTACAGATCAGGCCATTTCACAGCCCGGCAATTACGATCGCTTGTCGAGGTTTTAGAGGTGGGCTGGAACCTCAGGATCAGGCTGAAGCTCAAGGCTGCCCCAAGGACCCTTCCCTCGCAAGTCCACATCCATCCCAGTCCCTGCCTTTAGCTCAGGCCTGTCTGTAATTCACCTCTGTGGAAAAGCCATTTTGGCACCCAACGTCCCATCCACAGCGGGAGACGTCTCCAGCCATCCCGGCTGGGTGAGCCGCCCTGCTCGGGTCCGACGTCCCAAAAGAAGGGCGAGCGGAGGATGGCAGGGAAGAGAGCGGCTGCTCGCAGGCAGGGGACGATGGGCACGGGGGGGACACACACGTGATGGACGCGGGGGGGAGCGCGGTACGTACCAGGAAACAGCCCGATGGCGTCTGCCCTGCCCCCAGAAGTCAAACAGGCTTCGGCCAGTCAGCAGGAGATTTCAAACCATTTCTCAGACACAAAGGCCACGGGAATAAGATGCCGGTCAGAAGAAGAGGGTCTGCAGCGAGCAGAAAAAGGGGCTTGCACGTGCCGGTATGTAACACACAAGGAGCAAGCCGAGATGGCCTGCTGCAAAAATCAGCTTTTTTTGGGGGGGGGAAAAAAAAAAGAAATCTCTGAAGTAATGCTTTGAATGGGCTTATTGGCCTCGGAAACCAGGGTGGTGCAAAGCAGAGAGAGAAGAAGAGAAGGACGGACTGTAATATCAAACGTTTTGGCCCCTGTGCACGAGCACCTTTTGACGCAGCCAATTGCTGCAGGGATAGCTGACCCCAAATGGCAGCAGAGCATCTCCTATCTGCCACCTCCCCGTCTCCCGGGTCCCGCACGGGTCTGCCGTGCTCATCGCCTGCACGGGGTCCGCCAGGCTGCCTGGAAATGCACCGAGGCCAACAGGATCCCAGAAAGCATCACTTGACGGCAGAAAAGCGACAACCCCCTTCCAGCCAGAACAAGGGCACCCCTGGACCACTTGGGCTGGGGTTTGCATCAAAATCAATGCACGCGTACGTTCAACGAAATGGTTTGAAAATCCCTGCCAGTTCTCTGCCTTCCAAGATCTGAGGAAACCCTGAAAAACGTGAACTAGCAAAACCCCATGCGCACACAGAAGATGATGGTTAAGAAGATGCCTATCAAGCTGTTGGCTTCCAGGCTTTTCTGTCCTTCATGCAGGTAGACGTCAGCTGTGGGTGGCACGCACACCACGGTCCAGCCAGGCTGCGTGGAGCACCAGTGGCTCGTTTTCTTCCTCAAAACTCCCCTCCTGATTTTCCCTCTAGCTTTGGTGGGGGGCAAGCGTTTACGGCGTGGTGAAACTGCACCAGCACCCGGTGAAAGGGCTCTGGGAACCAGCCCGGGGCGCGGGGAGAGGTCGCTCCTGACCACCTCCCACCCACGCAGGCAAGGGGCAGGCAGAGCGAGGGCTCGCATCTTTTACGCCCTGCTGCCAGCCGCTACGAAGCCTCCTCGTTAACGCATCGTTATTTCACACCAGACAAACGGTTCATTTGGCTCTCGCTGCCCGCTCCTCCATTAATCACCCCGCTCATTCGCAACCCAGCAGCTCTTTCGATGCCACTTTAGGAGACAGCACGAACGCTGGAAGATGGATCCAGCAGCATTTACGTGCTGGCAGCAGCAGTGGGCGGGAACTGAAAAACGTGCGGTGCCGAACGCTGCCGGGGCTTGCTGAGCCGTGGGGGGGGTCTGGCCGGCCGACACCGCGAGGACGGGGGCCACCGAGCCGCCCGCCCACCCTCATCGGCGGGATGAGAGGTCCAGCGGCCGTGCCTACGCTGAGCTACGGGGCAGGCGAGCATCGTGGCTCGGAGAGCCGGAGGAAGGCAGCTCCACCGTGCGCTCCTCCCCGGGGAAAAGAGGGGGCAAGCGGACCCCCGGAGCAGGACGGCGCTCCCCAACCCGCAGGGAACCCGCGCCGGCCACCTCACCTGTTTCCATTGAAGGTCGTTTTATAATCCCCGGGCGAGCGCAACACCTCCTCCGCGTAGACGGGGACGGGGGTCCGGACGCACTCATGGGAGCACTGCAGCGTCTCGTTGTAGGCGGTGAAGATGTCGAGGGCGCTGGGCACGCGGGCGGGGGCGAAGTCGGTCAGGTTCTGGCAGCTCTCCTCCTGCTGGTCCAGCTTGCGCTGGTGGCTGTTGCGCCGCGGGCGCCCGCTCTGCGCGCAGCTGGGGCGGCGGGGGAGAGAAGAAGGGACACGACGCACCGCGCGTCGCTGATGCTCGGCAGGGGGAACGCGCGCTCCTGGCCGTTAATTGCACATCGCTCGATATTAGATTAGAATTCAGGCATGTGGGAAAGATCGGCCACAATCAAGCAGTCGTTTGGCTCACCTTTTTTTTTTTTTTGGAGGATCGAATTTAAATTTTAGATATAAGCTTTTTACCACCAGAGGAATGACTTGACAAGTCATACGTTTATACCTGCAGGGAATGAAAGCCTTTTTTTAAAGTGAAAAGACAGGTGAAAAAAATGGAAGTGAAACCTTTTCCGCTTGGGAGGCACCAAAAGGGTTTAACTTACTGGGATAAATAAGCTCAGAAACCGGTCTGACATGGCAGACACGCTCCCCCTCGGCCAAGGGACGGCTGGCAGGGCAGCCCTGCTCCCCGGTGACTCCACCGGCTCCTGAGGCTCCAACGGGATCTCGTGGCCGTGCAACGCTTGCGGTTCGGTACGAAGGAAACAAGGGAGCTAGCAGGGACCTGCCCTCGATCAGGCTGGTCCTATTTAAGGGTCTAGACGCTGATTTAGGTGAGGTGTCGCTTTTTTCTGAACAGGATTGACAGCGCCTATCCTAATACTGGAGTTTCGGAAGACCGCAACTCCGAGGGCCGCGGGAGCTGGGGATGCTGGTGCTGCCCGTGGAGGGAGACCTGCGGGGCCGGGAGCGCAGGGCTCCCCCGGGACCGGCGCCGGCCACGCTGGCAGCATCTGCCGGCAGCGGGGCACAGCCTGCTCTGCACCGGCTGATGCAACCGAAAGAGACAGCCACTAAAATAACCGTCAGCTCCGTCATGGCACGTTTGCAGAAGGAGTAACGACAAGAAGGACGCCAGCGTGGCACACGGCCATCGCTCACCCGTCTTGCCCGAGGGGGACAAGCGCCAGCCTAAGGGACGGGGATCAGGACCGCGTCCTGTTTGGGGCCGGGGACCAAGCGTGTGATTTGGGTCAGCTCTGCCATGGAGCTCGCAGCCAGCGCGCGGCCGGCCCTCGCCTGCGCGAGCAGCGCCGGAGGTAGCCTAAAAACCGCGTCAAAACCCAAAGCGGTTTGGCAAATGTTAGGGCTGAGCAAACTCATCGGGGTGCTGCCTTCCCGCCTGGGGCACGTCTGACTGCTGACCGCGCTCGCCTGCAGGTATCCTCTGGGGATTTCCCAACTTCACTTACTGTCAACAATTTCTATGCTACGCTGATCATTGTATTCTTTTTTTTTTTTTTCCTTTTTGGCTTCAGCATTAGGTTACTTGAGCTGTTCTGGCAAGCTGCGGTCAGCCGGATCAATGATATGGACTGCTCGTGACCACTACTAGAGAAAAATCCCAGAAGTGTTTTATAAAGTATTTTCCATGCTCTTTCACCAAAATACGGCTATGATTAGGGAAGTTTGGTAAAGTAACTCCTGTCTGAGCATCACTGGCTGCACTCCCGACACCTCCCCGCGGGCCTGCTCCAGCAAAGCAAACTCGTCTGCGGGGCGAGCAACTCGGCGCTTTCGGCCAGCCGCAACACTTCGCTACAGCTCTGCCGAGATGAAAATGCCTCCGGAGCCCTGCAAATAGGTTTTCCTCTAATCCCGGGGAGCGAGCAAGCTTCTTCATCAACCGGGTTTTCTAATTTCCTCCTGCGTGCAGGAATCGATTTGCTGCAGTGCCTTGGGAGAGCTTGGGCGGGCAGGAGCCGGCCGGGCTGGAGGAGACTGCTGGAGGAGAGAACCGCCGCCGCCGAGCGCGGCAGCACCGTACGGCAGCTCTCGCACCGGCCCAGAGCTGCAGCCATATCCCTAATGCCAGCGACGCTGACCTCAAAGTAGGCCAGTTTCCCTGGGAAAATAGGTAAAGCCACGAGCGCCTGAAGCGAAAAGCTAACCTATTTTGCCATACACCCAGCCGTGCTGAGAGAATAAACGGGAGCAAATTAAGCTGGAGGAGCGCACGAGCGCTCCGGGGGACGGGGCACGCTTCAAACCGGCGGCATCCGAGGGGCTCCGAAGGTGCCCTTCAGTCCCTGGAGTCGGAGGGAAGGTCAGAAAACGCGATTGTTGCTTGCCGAGCCAAGCCGGCAATTTAAGGAGCAGCAGCAAAGCTGCTTAAGCGAGGGCCGAGGAGATGCCACCCAGCGCAGGGCAGGTCCCGGCACCCTCGCGGGGACAGCGGCCGCGGCCGAACGCACGACTTCGACCTCACCGGGTGGCATCACGTTGCAGCGACTCGCTCCCGGGGCCGCGACGTGCACGCGTCCCGCGTGGGACTCGGCCGCCCGCCCTTGGCCACGTGCCGGTCCCCAAAGCCGCCCACGCCACGCGGTGAGAGGCGGGGGAGCCGCAGGGGCACGACGAAGCCAGCTGCTTCGACCTCCTCTGGAGGTTTCGGTATTAAAACAACCGTCTCTCTCCCGCGATGCCTTTCGGAAGCCATCCTGGCGGCCGCCACGGGCTTCGGCGCTCACGGCAGGAAAGGCGTCCCCCGTCCCCACCCTGTCCCCGTCCCCGCGCCACCCCCCCACGCCAAACAGACCCAGGAGAGTACCTTACCAATTTTTTAAGACAAGAGTTGTTATCAGAGCAGCTATGACCATGATGAGGGACACGGTAATAGTGATTATCTGATGAACCGCCAGACCTGCAGAGAAAAGAAAGGAGAGAGAGTGGGGACAGGAGCCAAGGGGGATCCCGGGCAAAGCCCCCCACCACGCACAGACCCCCCCGCCGCCTCCTCCCGAGCCCTTCTCCGGCACGGGGCTGTACGCAGCCCCCGGCGGCGGCGACGCAATCCTCTCTCCTGCCTTACATAAAATAATCTTTAAGCCAGGCTTCTCATTTCCTATCCTCTCAAGTATGTTCCTTGTCAGCCCGAATTAGGCACGAAGAACGGAAGAGATGTGAAGACGTATCCCCTCCGGGACGGAAAGGGAAACTTGAGCGCAGCCTTGCAGTGGGTGCAGGATTAACCAGAGATAATAATTACTGCACTAACTGCTGCTCACTTAGAAGGTCGGATGGGCTCATTTTCTCCTAATTCACCTTACACAGGGTATAATTTTGGCTCGTGTATCATTCCTAATGAGCAGTTTGGAAACAAAAGCATCTCAATGTACAGTATGTTTGTGATTTTGTGCTGCTTTACAGTTGCAATTTCGTAATGAAATGATTTTCCTGGCTGCAGCCCAAGGATGTGCTATTTTTCACAAACAGATGTTGCAACTCCTGATGGATGAGATTTTTAATAAATAAGTGTTAGTATGACAGGAAAACAAGCAGTTATATATATATACACACATACACACACACATATATATACATGCATCTGGGCAATACATGCACAGTGCTCCCAGCTCGTGCGCGTGCATGTGGTGAGGAAATCGCTGCTTCTTCCCACACAAGAGCGCACGGGTTCCAGCGCCGGCAGCCGTACACACGCACATCCCTTCCCCGGCAAAAGGGGCTCAGAAGGCGGAAAACCCTCCCGGGAGAGACAGGTCGGGGGCGGCGTGCCCCCGCTGCATCCCGGAGCGCCGCTCTCCACGGGAGCATCCCCCCCCGCTCCCACGGGAACACCGCCCAGGGCTCTCCCACTCTCCTGAGCAGCAGATTTGGGGCCACGCCGCAGCTCTCCTGCTTTCGGCACAGCGCACCCCGCTCTCGCGGCAGGCTTGTGTGAGACTCTGAGCAGTAGCCCAAACACCAGGCTGGGTAATTAGGCCAGACGAGATTTATCAGTGGTATTTTAAACCACGGCTCACGCTTGCTGCTCTGCTGCCTTCTCTCGAAGGACAAAAGTTTTGACTCCCTTGAAATTTGTTATCTCGTCTCCCCCTGCTCATCCCCGCTCTCCGGGGGTTTCGGGTCCCTGCCCGCACACCCACGCTGCCGACAGCACTCATCAGGGGAGAAAAGGAAAAACTGCTTGAGTTTAGCCTGACTCCCAGGGCAAAGCTGCCACCTCCCGAGGCACACAGGTGTTGGATGCCTCCCCAGCCCATGCACCTCCAAAGAACCGCTAATCGCCCAGGAACATGATGGAAAACGCATCTGGCCTGGGGAAGAGCGGGAGAAAAGCCGTGCAATGCTGCCGAGACCCACGGTGACACCCGAGGGGAGGTGGAAACTCCTCAGCGTGGGTGCACAAAGAGTTACACTCACCTTTCAAAAGCCAGCTCCAGCACCCAGCGCAGCAGCTTCCCAGCTTTCGGGAGCACAAGTGCGCATCACGCCTCGACCTCCCCTGGCTTTCGGTAGCCCTGCCCACGGGCGCACGTGCCTCAGCACCGCACCTCGCCACCTGAGCATCCTTGCTCAAGATCCACCATCATCTCGCCCTTGTTGGTGCTCCCGTGCTGCCCAGGCTGCAGGACCCAGGCTTCACCGCTGGCTGCCTCGGGAAGGAGGCGCGGATCCCCGCTCGGTACGTGGAGACCCATAAAATCCCCGATTTTGAGCAATGAGGCCAGCCAGCGGCGACACCTTTTTAGCGCTGCGGACTTTGCTGCCAGGATGCATCCTGGGCATAAATCAAATGCTCAGAGAAATGTGAGTCTTGACAGTTTAATATAATAAAACCAAGGTCACCTTCGGCGAGTCTGATTCACTACAACACGCCCAGTGCCAAGCACCGGGGTAGCAATCGCTTGCGGGAAAGGCTTCGCTCCCAGCCCCGGAGCTGGCGTGCCGGCAGGGCGGGCAGCAGCCAGCGACCGACGGCAGGCTGCCGGCGAGGGAGCTGCTTGGCAAGGACGGGTGCGAAGGGGACGGGCGCGATGGGCTGGCACCCGCCCTGGCGACCACAAAGCTCTGGCATCTGGCAGAGCAAAAGCATGCACCTCCGGAATAAAAGCGGCAGGGTTTCTAGAAGGAAGCATGCACCCGGCATCTTCTAGCGCTTATTCCGCTTTGCCGGCAGACATGCTATGGAGGACATCTGGGAGAAGAGCTGGAGGGAAGAGCAGGGACCCCGACTGGTTTTAAGGATGGGATGTGGTCCGAAGCGGGAGGTGGCAGCGGACGTCAGCCACGCCACGGACATTGCTGGCAAAGGGGTTTTCTTAGAGGCAGGACCAAGGAGAAATGAATTCCCGAAGGCCAACGCTTCCGAATTGCCGGCTCTTTGCATCCTGGCACGGTCCCAGCATCGGGCCGGCAGAAGGCAAGAGCCCACCCAAACACAAGGAGGTGCAGAATGCTGCAAACCCCGGGTACTTTGGGGTTCTTCCTCTGCTCCCCAGGGCTCCCCAGGGAGCCACGGGACGGACAGCCGGGACGGCTGCTCGCCAGCCCCCGCGCCCTGGCAAAGCCGAGCGCAGCGGGATGGGATGCGTCAGGGTTATTTTTCTCCCTCGACTCAAGCACCTATTTTGCAAATGACCCATTTCCTTCATTTACTCCCAATTACACTTCAATTGGTTCAAACACGCTGTGACAGGGCTGTGACAAGGCTCCTCCGGAGAACGGCTGGCACGAGCAGCTGCCAGAACAAAGAGCGGGTCAGGGGAAGCAAACGCGAGGGCTGGGGACGGGGAAGGTGGGAGGACGGGGAGGACCCGGCACCCACCTCCTCCGCACCACCTCCGGCTCCGGAGGGGTCTGATGCCAGGGAGCAGCCGTTGGGCTTCGTGCCCTTGAGGCTTCGAGAACCCGCTCGTGGCTCTGCAGGCTGTGGGGGGGGGGTGGCTCCGGACCGAGAGCCAACACCCGCGGGGACAGCCGGGACAGGCAGGATCGCTCGGGAGATGCCGAGCCCGGAGCTGCGCGGGCTGGCGGAGTCATCCTCCCCCCGGCTGGGGAGATCGGCCAACTCCCACGAGCGACCGGGGAGCCAGAGCCACGTTGTTTGCCCCTCGGCTGCTCCGGCTTTCGTTTCCCACGGGAATTCCGAGGGAAAACGCCACAGGGCTCCCCACCTCCCGCCGGCACCCCACCGGCGGAAGGCGAGGCGCAGAGAAAGACTGCCGGCCCCGTGCTTCGGATATTCCTGGAGGACGGTCGCGACGGGAGCCGTGTCCCGACGGAACCAAGAAGCGCAGTCGGCAGCTCCCAGCTCACGCCCGCGCGCGCTGGGTCAGGAGCGACACCCGCCCCGGCAGCAGCCCGGCGCAGCCAGCCCGGCCGCATCCTTCACGGCATCCAATCTTGGAGCAGCTCCCAGTGGGACACTGCCGAAAAAGATAAAAGGAACGACTCTAAAAATAAAATAAAAACAGCCCAGTGCCCGATTCCTTTGAAAACAGAAGCGGCGTCGGAAACGAGATCTTCTGCAAAGATGGGAGCCGAGGCAGAGGCGGCAGAGACATGGGAGAACCTAACGATGCAATTAATCCTTGCACTTACGTAATGGGAAAGGCGCAGGCAGAACAGATTGCAGGTGGCTGAGCACTGGGGAGGATGGCGGCTCTTCGGAGCAGGACACATGGATTTTAAGAAGGGCTGGATAATTTTAGACTCCATCACATACATAAGTTGCCATATGTACCAGCATAGAAGAAAGTTCCTTTGCATCGCATATTAATTCTGCACCAAAGCCTGGGGGGATTTCAAGGGGATGGGAGATGTTGTTCCTGGCAGCCTTAACCACGGCAGTGATGGGAAGAGGGAAGGGGACCTGATGGGTACCGGGGATGATTTCCTGGGACGCCCTGCAGCAACAGCCCCTGCCATAAGGACTAATAGGTCTTTGTTCTTACTTCACAAATGCATCAAATCCTTTCCTCCGGGCCTTTGAAGAAATGTACGGAACCATACAGAGCAAAACTGAACAGAAATGTCCAATCTACAGGAGAAGGAGTTAATGGATGGGGCATCCTGGGAGAGGGGAACACCCCATCAGGGACACACACCACCCAGGGAGCGAGGCAAGGTGAAAGAGAGATGGCTGCGAAGACCAAAGCATTATTTTAAACACGGCCCTAGGAACCCAATCTGTCTGGAGGAAAGGGACCTGGAGGATAAAATCAATAGCTCATAAAGCCAAATTACCCTCCTCCTCCAGTGCGGGAAGCCTCCTGGCACACACGTAACTCACAGTGAAAACCCACTCCCCCAAAACGCGGGGCAGGCTGCGGGAAAGAACCTGGAAGCAGGCATCATGGTGGCTCGGTTTGGTTTGCCCATCTCCGTGGCCAACGTTTCAAATGGCAAAGCTACAGAACCCACCGGCCACTTAATTACACGGTAATCACCGGCGAAGAAACAAGCTGCGGGAAGGGCAGAGGCTGGCGCGCGGGATCAGGATGGGACGCCCGGCGAGCTGCCGCCCCGTCCAGCACCGGCCACGGCAGCTGTAAATGCTTCATATCTGCGAGGGGACTGCGAGCGGCTCCCTCTTACAAGGCTTTTACTAGGCAATTTGACGCAGTGACCATTTAACTCGAGGGTAATTACAGGAGAAGTATTTAATGGAATTGAAAGTGTGTCCAAACCCCTGCGCTTCTGCTAGTGCAGCAGAATTTAATGTGTCGCCTGCCAGGAGGAAAAGCTCTTCAAAGGCGCTCTTTGAACCCTTGGAAATGCTGAAATATTGCTGGGTTTTTCCACTCGCGCGCCGTCCGAGCACGCTCCGCTCTTGCCGGGGACTTCTCGTCCCCTCGGCGGTGGGAGACCCGGCCTTGGTGTCCCCGTGGGCAGCAGCCCCGGCCACGGCCGCTCGGGCAGCAGCCGTGCGTCAACCTGCAAAATGCAACTCCAAATTCCCCAGGTCCAGGGAAAAACCCAATCTTCTCAAAGCAAGCAAATGCCAGGGCTTTTTTTGTGTGTTATTTTAAAGACCGTGTATTTGCCACCGAGATGAAAGCGCTGAGTTTTGGCCTTTCTGGCCACCTTTTGAAACGGCTCCCGGACAGCTCTGCATCAACAGAATTAATTCCATGAGAAAATCCATTCGAGACTAATGTCTTGCTACTGCAGAAGTGCGCAATGGCAGCGAACAGGAGATATAAGCTCTTAATTAAAAACAAAGAGAACCTCTATCCCCTAAGGCCTTTATTTCAACAGCTCTGGTTAGGGAGACCATATTCTTCATTCTCCCAATAAAAACAGCTATGAGCCGCAACTCTTTGAAGACCCTCGTCAAGGCCTCTAAGCTGCATAAAATTAAAAAAGGCAAAAACAGCTCCGTTTCATTTTGCAGACCATAATCTTGAGTTACCGTTAGTGGCAGCAAAACAACAGATGCTCCAAATACCTGCTACACCCCAGGCAGGAGGGCTGCAACGAAGCACCTAAGCCCCTTCCCGCACGCGTGCCGCGCGGATTGCTTCCTTGCTCCTTTCTCCCCGCTCTGCCTCAGCCTTCCCGCAACTCCCGGTGTGAGTCGAAACGCCGAAAGAGGCTAAATCTCCTAAATCAGCCAAGGCTGGGTCTGCTGGCACGGGGTGAGAAGCAGGGAGGGCCCGGAGTTGCAGGGATGAGCCGGAGAGGCAAGCGCTTGATTGCAGCAGGATCTGCCTCTCCCTCCCACTCCTCAATCAAAGCATCGGGTCTGGCAGGGGAGAGGCCATCCCAATGGGCTCCCAGTAACGAGCATTAAAACGGAACTGGCTCCTGGGAGCAGCTGAAGATCTTACAGAGAGGGAAACGATGAAAACGCAGATGGAATCGGTGCCGTGGCAATCATTCCCGGCCAAAATAACCTTCCAAGCAATTTCCACGGTGAGCATCACAGCCCACTCAGAAGCCAACAACCGGCGCTGTCGCCACTGCCGCCGCCCTGCCCCGCGTTCAGCTCGGCTCGGCGCGGCACCGCACTGGGCAGCCGGCCTTTGGATGGGGGATATCGGTGCTAGGGGCTGCCCGAGGAGGGGCTCTCTCCCAAGTGGGGTCTTCTCTCGGGGCTTGGCATCCCATCCTCATCCCTGCCACGAGACGCTTTCCTCTCTTCTTGCACACCCTGGGTGCCGGGACGCTCCCGAGCATCGCGGAGAGGCTGGGGAAAACTGGCTGGATTCAATAGACAGTACAGCTTCCCCAGCCATCTGATTCCCGAAAGCCTCATCCAGCCCATAAAACCGCTTTTGGACAGAAAAATTCAATCAGGAGTGTTGCGTGGCCGCTCTGCAGCAATCACAGCCACAAACAGCCTTTCCCAGGGGGGATCAGTCAGACTTTGCAGTTAACGCGAACCCTACTGCCGTTTAATAGCTTGTAAGAAAAATAATTTACAAAAAACACAAGGGTTAGATACAGAGGAGGAGATAAGGCAGGGGTTGTCTTGGAAAACCTTGATCTGGTGCAAAACCAGCTCATCCGCTGCCTGACCCACTGCGCTGGGGAACCGCCTTGGGTCTGCTCCTCTTAACACCCCTCTTGCCTTCAACGCAGAGTTTGGGCAGGCAAAGCCCCCTGGTTTTCCACCTGGCAAATCAGGGCGATCAGCTCCGAAACCCGGCCCAGCGAGCATTAGTCATCCTGAAGTGAAAATGCAGCTCTTCGGCAAAAAACCCCACCAAGGTTCCTGGAAACCTCTTGGTATTTTGGGTTGGACTGATGAAAGGAGGAGAATATCCTCCTGCTGCTGCTGATGTGAAATATTCTTGCCAAGAACAAAGAACCTAGAGGCTTATGCTAAAGACACTGGGACTTATCTGCTCAGGTGTTACAGCAAATATCACCGAGCAATAAATACTTCTGAGAGCAGCAGAGGAGAGTTTCTGGCTCGTTTCGACACACGTGGGTGAAGGCACACACGCACGCCCGACATCTGCTAATCCCGGGGAGAAAGACAGTCCCTTCTCCCTCGCCAGAGAGAGCTCAGCTTACGGCCACGCTCATTTCTCGCTTCAGCCATCATCCTCCGTCCTTAAGGAAAACCGCAGCTGAGGCACAGCCTCACGAAGGATCCTTCGGGAACCTCCCGGGAAAGGCGACCGGTGGGTGCTGGCCCAGGAGATGCCGTCCAGCCCCCTCGCCTCCTCTCCGGCCCCCGGCTGCGACGGCTCCCCACGCCTGTGCACGGCGGATCAAAGAGGCGGCTGCAGCCCCACCGCCCAGGGTCTTCTTTTAAACACATTTTATCTTTAATTAATTCCTTTGAAGCCTTTTGCCTCCGCTATCTCCTTGCATCCAGCGCCCCCTCTCCTGCACCCTCTTTTTGAAGGCAGGGTCATCTCCCAGCAGGGAAGCGAATGTCTTTTTTATTATTATTATTATTATTGTTCATTCCCAATACGCTCCCCGGCCAGCGGCAGGGAGGGAGCGGAGGGCGGGCTGGGGCACGCCATGAGCTCGGCTCCGGCTGCCGGCGCGGCGGGTGCCCACGCCAGCACCCACGCAGTCCCACGCCTCCACCCGGGAGCACCCCCAGGCAGCAAACCCGTCCCCCACCTCTGGGCCAGCCTTGGGGGGGGTGCCCCTTAGCACCGGCTCCTTCACCAGCACGCCGCTCGCAGAGCACGATGCCAAACTCGTTGCGTACCGGCGATCAAATCGCCATTAAGAGCGGCAGACGGCACATAAAGTCTTCTGCCTTATAAAGCACTTAAAGGTTTAATTAAAGACGGCTTTATTCTAATAATACTGAAAGGAGCGCCTCAGACAACCCAGCGAGCGCAATTCATGCCTTCGCTCTGACAGTCTCTGATTCATTCTTCTCTTTTCTTCTTTTTTTTTTTGGCTGAGCCCACAGTACAGGAGGATGCTCTGCCTTGGCAGAGGAGCCCAGCCCGCACGGAGAGCGACCACGCGGCCGCCCCGGCGAAAGCTCCAAACAGCCCTTGCCTCTCGCAGCACGCCGGAATTTTAATTATTTCTCTCTTTCCGTGCTCCACCGTAAAACGATCACGACAGCCCCCGAAAAAGGAAGAGCAATTTTGAGAAGCATAAGCGTAAACTACGCCTGGGTGAACATATTGCGTCCCCATCTGACTGCCATCAGCACTCTGCCAGGCGCCGAGCAGGCAGAGGTGGCACCGGGACAAACACACCTGAGCTGTGGGTTGCCCAAAACAGCCCCCCTGCACGGCGGCACCCCCCAAACCAGAGCGGCACGTACTGGCCTCTCTGTTCTTTCCAGACATCGCAAGTAATCGCTCGTCTGCCTTCTCTCCTACCTACAGGCGGAATATTTGCTATTCCAGGGGAATTTTTTTAAGCTTGTTTTTGCTGCTAGTGAGTCACGGAGATGTTGTTGCTGGCTTTTTTCTCTTTTTTTTCTCTTTTTCAGCAAGGGGGAGCGGGGCGACAGGAAGACCTAACTGAGCAGGATTTGCTTTCATTGCTCGTCTAAGTGAATGCTGCTGCCTTCCCACCCCACGCGCGCCCCAGGGAACCCCCACGGTCCCCCAGCATCACTAAGTCCCTTTCCAGCAACGCAGAGAGGGAAGCAAGGGCACGGCACGGGAGGGACACGGCGGGGAACGCAGCACCTTCGTTAGCACGATGGCAGCACCCGATCCGACGGCAGCGTGGGTCCCCTCGCCTGCGGGAGCCCTGGGGTGGCTCTGCCAGCTCCCAGGGTGGCCCCAGCTCCCTTGGGTGCTGCAAGCAGGACCACCCCGACCCCCAGGGCTGCTGCCAGAGAGAGCTGAAGGACCGCAAGCTGTGGGAGCAGCATCCCTCCCCGTCACCCACCCCCCTCGGGCTCCTATCACGACGTGCGGCGCCTTACAGGACGGCAGGATGGGGATTTGCAATGCTCGCTGAGGCAAATAAAAAGTACTGACGAGTTACCTAATCCTAATTTGTAGCCATATGTTTTTCCCAGCAGAGAACAAACGCTTCCAGCCGCTAAAGCTTATATAACAAAGAGGAGCAGAGCTTGAAAAATGCACAGCCTTGCACAAACCGGCGACGGCATGGCCGGGGCTCCGAGACGGCGCTGGCCGCTTGCTCCCAAAACGCTGGTCCCGAGGCACGGCAAGGGCTCGGTGCTCCTCGCCGGGGCTCTCCGGGGTGCTCAGCCCCAGCGGCAGAAGGAAAAGCAGATCCAGAGCTCGGGCGCTTTTCAATTTAGGGTGAACAGGCTGAGATCAAAAAGGTCCTTTAGCCCCAGGAAGGAATTTATCGTATTCACCGCTCGGCAAAAAGAAGTTAATTAGCAAAAACTCCGATCCCGGCAAAAGCCCCTAATGAGAGCTAAGAGCCGGCAGATTAAAGCAGCCGGTCCCCTGGGAGGCTGCCGGGAACACGGAGGCTCGGGGCTGCGGTTCTCCGCCGATCTGCCGGCCAGGGAGGGCAGCGGCAGCAGCACCGGCGGGCAGGCGGCAGCACCGGCGGCTCGTCCTCGCCTAAACGAGGCGGCCGACTCGCTCACGAAGTCGGAAAGCACCGGCACGTGCCAGGAGCCATCCTCCCACGTGCTGCAAACGGAGCCGGCGGACAGGCTGCCGCAGCCGGCCGACGACGAGCCCACCGGACGATGCCACCGAGGCCAGAGGCATCGGCCGTGGCAGGTCTGGGGAGATAAGGCTGAGGATCTCATCACGCAGCGAGCAGCTCACGCCAGCAGTCGTTATCAACACTCCCTTGCTAATTTATCCAGCCGATTCCGGCATTTTTTTTTTAAAAGGTGTGTAGGTTGGGAGTTTTTCGCCGCTATAAATAACTCCTCTAAGTCAGGAACACCACTGTGGTTGGCTTGTCTCTTTCTGCCAAGCAGGGCAGGCTAGATAAATTAACTGGGATTGAGATTAGGCCATAAAATTCTTTTTTGATTCGACTAGAAAATCACTGTAGGCTAAAAGCAGTCGATGCACAGTGAATAAATTCTGTAAACTATACAACGGTATCCCACAGCTTAATACTGGCAATAACAAATATAATTTGAAATAAATGGGAAGCAGCTTTCCCATCCATGTCCACACAGCAGACAGCGCTGGGGGAACGTGCTGCCGTGCCCGAGCGTGGCGCTGAACACGATTACAGGAGATGGGCTGTAGATGGATACCGCTAATGGGAAAAACACAGCAAGCTGCTGGAAAACGCCTCGGATAAAAGCAATGAATCAGAGCTGCCACTTCCCTCCCGAGCGCTCCTGTTTAACATCACACACTTATTTCCATCCCGGGCACTGCTGCCACGGGGAAACTCGTGCCGCAGTGACCCCTCTGCTCCAGGCCCCCCCCCCAGCCCTCCCAATTTACCCGCCGCCGCCGCCCCGGCAGACCCTACCTGTGCTGTCTCCCAGCCCGCGGGGCAGGCGAGCATCCTTGCCACCGCTGCTGC